TGCTGGTGCACAAGTTGTCTGTGGCAATTTACGCAAAGGCACAACACCTTATTAATCCCAAATATACCTACATGGACCCCTTTTCAACCGCCCCAATGTAGGTACAGTAGATATGCCCAACCGCCGAGCGTCTCTCGATGGAGCTTGGCCGCGCGAGCCACCGGCATGATGGCCGGCAACAAGGCCTTCGTGCAGGGAGCCACTCGGCGTGTGGCAAAAATAAGAAGGACCATACAGCTTCTTGTTACTAGTAGCGATCAAAGACCTACTAGTAGGTAGAGTCCTTGTTACTACAGGTGAAACGATTCCCAGTGAAACGATTCGCAAGGAAGCACACATTCTTCCGCCCTCCGTTTCCCTGCAAGGTTTGGCCTTATTTCCACCTGTTGGATTTTAGTGGGAAAACCACGCCTCAAAGAAGGTATGAACGTGATCCACTTGGGTACACGACATGACCCTTGTCTGGATGAGCAGACCTTCAGGAATCAAAGACTGCAGACTGCCATCTGTCGTGAATGCTCACATCGTAAGGGAAAAGGCGCACCACATGGGGAACACCCCAATCCAAATACCCCACGACTGTTCCTTGCAGAGTTCGTTGCGCAGAGCTCCCGCTCTCCGCTCTCCCGAGGAGTCTGGTCGCATCCGAACGAATGGACCGGTGAGTCCAGTGCGAAGACCGCGGCCCTCCGGGCACCGAATCGGCAGCGAACGAGGTGATCCACGGAGCCCGGCAGAGGTCGGAAAACGCCAAGAGAACATGACACTGGGGTAGTGAAGGTCCGATTCTACACTAAGCTTGGAAGCCAGGGCAAACATGGCCAGCTCCTTGTATGCGCCGGGGTCAAAAGATGTCAAAAGGTCCTTTGAACCATTTCAATTACACCCACCAATCAGTAGAACACGTTTTGAGGAAAAAACACCAGCCATCCTGCGTTTCTTCCTGAAAAGACAGGGCTGAATCACCGCATCCTGCCACGACAATCCGATCATCGTCAGAAGGGCACCCCAGCCCGTGATTCCATTTAGAGGCCTTATGCTCTGCTTTAAAATGGAGGCCGCTCAGGCTCCTAGTCAACCACCAACAAGAACACGTGGCATCAAAAAACACATATAAAATGTCTTGCTATGTTCTGTGAAGTTCATGTCTTCAAGCATTCTTTCTTGCAATGCCCAAACGTCTGGGGCGCACGGTCGACTGCTGAGTGGCTGCCACGGTCGAAGGAGCGCGGTGTCCCCACGCGCCTTCAGATCAATTTCTTTCAGTGAGGAATAAAGGACCTGACAAAATCCATGGAAGGACATTTAGTGTTACAATCGTGAATGAAGGGCGCGGCTAATTCTGGCAACAGGTCTATACGTAGGCTTTTCTACCTAAGAATTGTCTTTCTTCCAAAAAACAACTTCAATACAGCTCTGGTCGGGTGCTCAAGCTACCTTGTGCCAGTATGCATGTAAACATTGCTGCTCGGGCTCCACCTGGACGTCTTGCTGCCCACGTGTGCATCGTGCCGCCGTGTGCTACGAGCACCAGTGTGAACCTGGGCCTCCCCACTGAAGCTCCACCAGCTTCAGAGAGTCTGGTGAGGAAGTCCTCCCAACAGTCTGGGATACCCAAAGGGTCTTCCGGAAGCCTCCCCATCCGCACCTGGCTGGGAGGGTGGAGGGTGGAAAAAATGGCCCCCCATCAGTCAGGTCAGCCAAGGTCATGGTCTTATTTGAGCATCCCGCCACTGACTGAAATGATCAAAACAAGTGCTCAAAGTCCAAAACAGTTTGGGAGTGCCCTTCAAACTCTGTTCGCCCGCATGCAGTCAGTGCTTTTTTCAGGGACAACAAGTGCGGCAAGCACGTCAGAAACTTCAGACCCTCCAAAACGGTCAACAACCTACGGCACCATTGTATGAAAGGCTATATTTAATAGGTATAGCTGATGCCAGCTACCTAGTTCTTTTGGCAGGGTGGTGCCCTTGCAACGCTGGGAAATTCGTATCACAACGTCATCACATAACACACATAACGACACGTGATAAGCCAATCTGTTTCAACCTGTTTCATATATATCTCATAGCCAACCGCCGGGGCCGAAGTCGCTTTCTCAAAAAACTCCGGTGCCAGAGGGTCTCTCTCCCGTTCTCCGCCGTTCTCCGGCGAAAAACACGGTGACCGCAAAACGGTCCTCGCGCCCCGCGGCATCAGCGGCATGCCCGATGAACTCTGCTTCGCCTGAAGCGGTCGGAGCAGCTAGGAAAAACCAGAGAAGCTCATAGTCAAAAGAAGCATCATACCGTACCCTATTAGGGTCCAAAGACCCAGCAAAACCTGGTCTTTTACCTCATTGAGTAATGTCTTTATGTGACCATTTCCAGCAAAATGAGCCCTTTGACAAAAAAAAAATAGTGGGGTCACCGTAGCGTCGAGCTAATGATTCATCTGATTCTTGCCAGTTTGGTCGTTTTAAGCACATGACACATGATGATGATGCGGGAGTCCTTCCATTATTCGATCTCATTCTGCTGTAAAACTACTTGTTTGGGAATCTTTTGGGACACTAACTAATTTTAAAATCCAGCAAGTTGGTACAAACTAAACACTTCAACATAGATCCTTTTTTGTATGTGTTGGAAATGAAAACCAATACAACCAAATTTATTAAATCATTAAAAACAAGTAAAAAATAACTTGGACCTGTGAACAAAACATGTTTGTTTCATACAATGTTTCATAATAATTGTTATTATTGTTATTGTTTATATATAAACATACCAACAGACCTGAATTAATTTAACAAATCATACCACTTTTCATATGGTTTTCATTAATGATAAACAACAACATTATGCTTTCATACATTGTGATAAACATATGATAGTTGTTATGAACATTTTATCAACAATTATGGAACAACGTATGAAACATAGTATGAAAAGACATATTATGGTTTGTTCACATGTCCAAGTTATTTATTTTAAAGTTATTTCATAAATTTGGCTGTATTGGTTTCGTTAAAATATAAAGTGCAATGAAAAAAAAAAACAAAAATCAATGATTTGGCCTCGTACCAGACTTGTTGGGTCTCAACACTAATTGTCTCTTATTGTGATGAATTCACCCTTTTTGTGCGAAGTTGCCAGAGTTATTTCTGTTCGTGGGAAGGTCAGCTTTGCAAAACATCTTCTACCTGCAAGTAGCTTCACTTTCCAAAAGCAGCGCTGTCTCAGTGACTTAACTCACAGATCGACCGTAGGGGTTCTCTTCGCAACCTTAGTACACCCCTTGCAGGACATCTCTTGCCACAAGACTAAAGGCCACCGGTGGACCCTCCTTGTGGATGTGCTCTGCATTGCTCCGCAACTGTTCTTCTAGCTTGAGACACCTAAGCGGCAAAAAGCCAAGTCCCTTTCTAACCAAGAATGCTGCGCTGTTGACGCTGGTGTTCCCCCTGCAAGACTTGTACTTTGCACTCCCACGTTGCACCCAGATCTGCTCGCCCTGAGGTCCATCATCCACCGGTGATCCGCTCGCTTCCTCGTCCCCATCATCAAATGCGGTCGAGGAAGCGTCGCGCCTGCCGTCTTCAGGAAGCTGATCATTCCTTCCGCCTGCGCACAGCTGAGATAGATTGATGGCTACGGGTGGTCTTCCACACTGGTGTGGGTCAACACATGTCTGAAAAGAAGGCAAACGAAGGAAGGCAAAGGAAGATAAGGAAGGAGGACATCTAATTAACACACAAAGATTTGAGGATATATTGCAAGTTTGTATAAGCTTTGTGTTTTCTTGCCTGTTGCAAACAAACTCCTCATTCGTCATGCCTCCCTGGGAAGAAGAAGCCTCAAAATGATCCCCAACTTTCCTCACCCTTCTCTGGGATGTTGTTGTGGACCGTCAAGGCGCTGTCTTTTTTTGGACTGCACATGAGTGCACACGGATCCACTCGGCATTGAACGGTGCCGGCGCAACACCCACGTCTTGGGCTCGAACGTCCATGAGACTCCCCTTCAGCGCAGAGTGCAAATCTTTTGCATGGCCTGCCACGTGTCGCTCTGTGTTTGTACACGAGTGATGTACTATAGGAGTCTCCAAACACATCTTGAAAGGCATAAAACGAAGGAACACAAGGGCTGAGCTGCTTTCAGGCGACAAATCAACCAACTTCGTCATTGATGATCAACCAATAAACAGCAAACTCACGGGAAAGAAACGCCAACAATCTGATTTCCTGCGATCTCTGACTGCAGGGCACTCCTACTTAACAGAATGATTGAACATAGTAAACATCCCAAACATTCACCACAACACATCCTAAAACCATGCCCCCCCACTGTACTGATTATTGGTGTCCTTTATCTTCCAAGCAACACATCAGGTCCATCCAGAATCCACATCACCATAAAATGTTCATCATCGACTCCATCCGAACCTTTCGGGGCTGATCTCCCTGCTCCAACACTCTCCAACCGGCTCAGCACGCTCTCGTCCCGGTGAAATCTTCGTGACCGTACCATGTGCTTCTTTGTGGGACACCGGGTGTTCTCTCACGCTCTCGGTCCTGGACCCTGGACGCTGAGAACGCACACTCGGGACGTCCCGTCCCGCACGCATAGTCCGTTCACGAAGTACTTCGCCTTCGCAGTACTTCACCAACGGCTGCACGGGGGCGGGGCCGCCCTCTTGCTCCACAATGACATCCACCAGATCGGTCCAGCTGACCTGGTGATGTTTTCTGCGTCAGCGTCAAGTCGGACGGTGTGGGGGGTTAGTTGGTGTAGCCATTGGAAGCCTCAGTTCATGCATCAGTTCGTGCGATTGGTTTCTTTGTGTTCCTTTCCATTTAAAGCAAGTGAAGTTGTAAAGGACGAGATACATCGGTTCGATGGGATACATCGGTTTAGTCACTTGGGGACACAGCCCCAGTTCCACAAAGGAAACCTCTGCTTCATCTGAACCGCTCTAGTTTGAAGAGAGGCAAGCAGCCCAGGGCGCCCCAGGGCGCCCACATGACATTCGCTAACACCGGAGTCGGTCTCCCCGCCCCAGGTCAGTCCGGGTCTCACCTTGCCGCCGCTGCGGGCCATGATCCCTAGAGCTTTGGAGAGGTCGGCGACTTGACGTTCATCCAAGGCTAACCCACTGAGCGCCTCCTGGAGATGGATGAAGTTGGGTTGGATGAGTTCATGGTCAAGTCGCTTGAGGCGAGTTGGGTTAGATGGGTGAGCTGGGTGAGTTGAATGTCGAAGGCGACGCCTCAACATCGTCATCCATGCCCAGCTTCTTCAGTTCGTGACCTCTTTGGAGTGCCAACCAGTGACCTTTTCCAGGCCCGTTCATGACCTCAAACTGGGATATCAAGTTCGGTCGCTTTGAAGAACCAGGTGCTACAGGGGCGATGTATTCCGCCAGTTCGCGTGAAGGCATCAGTGAAGGCAAACGTCACCTGCTTTTGCGGTGCCAACGTCCCATGAGAGTGTGCAGATGCACGTCCTGGATCTTGCTGAAGAGCTGCGGCATCTGCTTCTCCGTGTCTTCGTTGAAGAGGGCGTCACGCAACGAATGATCCTCCGACTTTCCTGGTGCGGCAGGGATGTCACAAAGAACTGGGGGGGGGGGAGTCATGACGAAATGGGAAAGCTACCAAGGAGCAACCAAGAAAAACATACCCAAACACTCCATGGGACTGCCAGATTATAGCTTATATTGGGGTGGTTTGGGGGGTCAATGTAGGCATTTGTTCCATGCATGGAAAGCTTGGGATACACATGATGGTGTTGTTGCACTTGTGCTTCCCCTAACGAGTTTTGAAGTTGATTGGCTGCACTGCATTGGATCGCTTCGTCTTGGCAGGCTGACTCAGGTCCTCTTATGAACCCATAGCCAGCCAAACGAAAGCATGACTTTCCGTGACTTTCAGTAGTCGACCAAGCTGAGGAAGGTATAGCAAAAGGCTTCACATATGCCGATGCCTAGCTGGGTGTTACAAAGTTAGAGAAAAACTTGAGTCCAAATATAGATCTGAATTCAAAGTGATTCCAATTCAATTCAACCAATCCAATTCCCCAGTGGCACTGCCCACTGCCGGCCTTGAAAAATGCCCAGGGCTGCTAGGCGCTGAGTGTTTCCCAACACTTCCTCACGACGCGGTTGGACTCGGGACAGCTCAGCGGATCCGAATTTTGGGATTTAGATTGTTCATGATTGTTCATGATTGATCCCTAGGTTCGGTGGTTGGGATGGGTGCAGGATCTAACCACCGAACCTGAGGATAGGGGCCAGGAGCCCTATGGGATACTATTTATGCTCCAAAATAACACAGGAAGATCCCTCGGTCCCATCAGCATCCCCAGCTCGCTGCCGCCGACTGGACCCTACACCTTCGGTCCGTCGCCCAACATGGACGGCGCAAGAAAACGCTCGGCGCCCCACATGGACACTCCATGGTTTCTGGAGGATTGGGGAATTCCAACGGATTCCTGCCGTAGCCGTGACCGATGTTGGGCAACCGTCGCAGCGACACGAGAACAACACCTAAGCCACACCGTGTGCCATGCCTGGCCTCTCCTAAGTAATCGGCTACTGGGAGAGGTCACTAGACCCAACAAGTGGCTCGAACCAGACGTAACCACATGTCAACTGGTATTGACCTATGTAGTGAAACATAGCCCCTTAGGGAGGCGGTGTCAACTGGTATGCCAACATGCAAAACCCAAGTAGTTGGTTGCTTTTAAAAGATAGAGCCCATGAAGCACCGGTACGGAACATGTAGAGAAGCAATTCTGAATCTCTTGCAGCTTTGATCAATGAAATCTGCTAAACCTACCCACTCGGGACCCTCAGAAGTTTTTGTAGGGACCCCCACTATGGTCGTACCTACTCTCCAAACGAGTCTCCTCGTACCCACTGGGTCCACAGTCTGAGACCCACAGTCTAGACCCACCGTCTCCTTGAGCTCGACGCTGGACAAACTCCTACTGAAGCTCTTGGCGCCACCGGCCTGTCGGCCCACAGCGACTCGGACGCGAGAACCACATGTTGGGGCACCCAACACCAACCGGTTCTTCCAACATGGTGAGTGAACTCCGAAATTTTGGGGCGGGGGTGGATTCTACGAGGTATATATGTGCTGCTGGAGTTGTGGAAGGTTCTTAGAATCTGGCACAGTGGGATAGGGTGAAAACAATAATTGTGACTGGCTGTGGGAAATTATTTCAGTACTCTGGAAGCTGAGAGGTTGCCATAAAGGTCCTTTGATTGTAGAAGCTAGCAGTTAGAAGCATTAACAAATGTTGGCCACAAGTTCATACTGCTGAATAACGTGCGAACTGTCAACACGCCTGGTCATCGCAAGCACACTGCTTTGAGAGCCTGATTCTCCAAAGATGGACATGACCAGAAACATCCAGAAACTACATCCTGAACAACTAACACAGAACCAGAACCCACAAAGGTTGAAGAACCTTATAGACTCATAGGGACCCGAGAATGGTTCCATAAAGGTCACTTAACCTCTCTGGGAAAATGTGTAAAGCATTAAATTCGATCTTCCTTTTGACTATATAGCCACGTATTCAGCTGGATGGGAGCGGATGGCGGCTGTCCAGGAAGTGCTCAATTGCTTCGTCCGCTTGGTGTGGTTCATGGGCATCTTTGGGTTTTCACGGGGCCTTTTCGTCCTTTTTCATTCTGTTTTGCCCAAGGGGCACAGGTTACACCCGACGAGCTCATGGGGTCCAGACCCAAATGCTGGGCACAGATTGGAAAGGAGAACAAGATTTGCCACTCACATGACCAGGAATGATCGGATTTTCCCTGCTGCGTGGGCCGCAGCCAGGTCCATGGCATAACCCCAAATGGATATCTACATGTATCATTGTCTTCACTCATTGTTGAACATCTGCCTTTTATTGTTTTTTTTCATGGTAACCCATACCTTTCCATACCTAAGACCATTTGTTCATCGAACCACATGCACAAACGAAAGAATGGTGAGTTACGCTCAGAGATCTATGTCTCAATAAACAACAAAAAATGAGGACCTCTCTGGTAAACACTTGGAACAACACATGACACACAGTGGTTCAAGAGTCCAGTTTTGAGACCTACTCTCTGACTTTGTTTGGTGTAAATCATGGAATCTCCATAAACAACTGCGGCTCATCTCTCCGTGGCATCCAACTTCACTCTTTTTCGAGTGCTTAAAATCAGCCCTCCTCCGTTCTGTCTCCGGTCGTCCCTAAGATGCGCCTCCGCCACCAGGCGTACGACCTGCGTCCAGCTGGGTGTCTCTTCGGAGGTGAGCTCTGTACCTTCCACCGTCGCTGAAGGAGCGCCCAACCGTGGCGAGTAAGTGTAGACCCCAAATCGAAGCATCTCTGATATACATTTGGGGTGTTTCAGAAAGGTACCCTCATAGGTGGGATTCATAGAGGTGTTCATATATCTCTCATGATGGTTCAGACCATAATGGAGGTTGGACGAGTTGGCCTATCTAATTTGCATGAAGTAGGTGGTCAATTGAGAACTGTATCAGTAATAACTGCGTACCAGGATGTACCAGGATATACTATCTTGGGGCACCGCCGTTGTGTGTCTGAAGCCTGGTTGTACGACCCTGGCACCCTGCCAGATCCTCTCCAATTTGCTATCAAAACCGTTAAAAAGTAGAGACCAGTATGGGCTTCTTCATGCAAAGGCCAGCATGGCGTTGGACACGTACTGTACTTGATTTTCTCTTGCGGTGGACGCTCAGGATTCGGTAGTCTCACCGTGACTCTCACGTGGACCACGCGAAAACCGAGCAGCCGGCATCGCTTGGAACAGCAACCCTAGAAGCGCAGCCGCAAAAAGCACCGCAAAGGCCAAATCTAAGGAGGCCAAGTAACGATGGTGAGGTCCATAGAGTTCCCACAATTTTGAAACCAAAACAGCGTGACCCACAAAGATTGCTGCGAGAATGACTATCATAGGTGCTGCCAAAAGGATGACCATGATGCTTCGCAGCAGGTCGCGGCAACAAGTGCTGGCCTTTTGCCGATGTTGGTGTGCTAAATACACGAACCACTCAAAAGTCAAAGGGATCCAAATGAACCAGACCTCGCGGGGCCACATCCAGAACAAAAAACATGCACAATTCCTTCCGGACATGCAGAATGGGCTTCGCCTACGTGGAACAACACTTCAACACTGAGAAAGCCGGAGGGCAAAAGGTCAAAAGGATAAGTATTTTTTGGCCAAAGTGAGAAACGGTAAGTCCAGCGAGAAGCCATTCCACTGAAAAATCCCACCAGGCATGCGCTGCCCAAGATGCAGAGATGTCCATGAAGGCCCAAAGGATTGGCATGGTCATGGCCAGGCAGTACTTCTTGGTAAAGAAACCATAGCGCAACTTTGACGACAAGGTATCCAACACCTCAGAGTGGAGACACGTCTCAAAGGCTTCCTGGTTTCCAAACCAAATCTTGATGCACTCCTTCACCACCACTCGATCGCAAATCATAGATTGCCCATCTTGCGACACATGCCCACAGTCGCAGCAGCTGCATCGTGCTTCATCCAAATTGGCCGTACGTAGCTGATCTTCAAGAACATCCACGGAGCGAAAATAACTCCTGAGCCACCAAAGGAGCGCAAGTAAACTTTAACCACGAGGAGATGCTGGGATGTCCAATTATTTCATATTATTTCAAGTTATACGTCGTATTATATACAGACTTTTGTTTTATGCACGTAACCTGTACGTATGTATGTATGTATATATATATATACAATTACTACGGAAAAATGATTAAGGAACCATTCACGATCTATTCCTTGTCAACAAGTGAATTGCTTGTTGGCGTGTTTTCTACGTCTTTGTCTCCTGAAGGCCATACTAGCCACCAGCGCAGGCAACACGCAAGCGAGCAATATCGCTCCAGCAGTGAGCATCATAAGATCCATGTTCTCTCCTCTCAAGAAGACCAGTGGAAGCACCGCCAAGAAAGACATGAGGAAAATGACCGTCATGCAAGGGCCAATGAACGTAGGTCGGATGGTGAGGATTTGAACGCTGCCAGATGAATCCTTACTTTTCATAAAGGCAGCGAGTTCAAATAAACACCACAATCTCTGTGTCCACGTCGAATCCCACAGAACAAACATCTCCTCTGATCTCTTCAATAGACCTGAGAGGCTCAGAATCGCCTCCATCTTCAGCCTCCTGTCTTTCTGGTTGATGCAAATCTGATCGAAGAAGACCTGCTGATGTGGCTTCCAAAGAAGAAACATCAAGATGGTGAAGGTAACGCCAATGCATACAGACCAAGGAGAAAACCGCATGTCTGCAAATCCGGCAATTCCAGGCATGTCGGGCAGCAGCGGAAAGAGGACCATAGGAAGTAAAGCCATGAAGGAACCCACAAAGATGGCAGGTGTGCCTTTGTAGAGCACCAGCACGGTGAGATATTTCTTGAAGCGGTCTCCTTAGGTGTCCCCGAACAAAGTGCTTGGAGTGTCGGCACTGTGCAGGAGGTGAACATGGTGGAATTTGTAGCTCCAAAACCGAACCTCCCAATCGCCCCATTTCTGGGCGTTCGTCCGAGCCCCGCGCGTCAAGTTGCTGAACAAACACGATTTTAATGTGTATATGTATATATATATATATCATCCCTGCAACAATCATGGAAGTGGACAATCACCCCTCAAAATCTGGAGAGACCTTTTTCCTCTACAAACAGGGGTTGTCCAGTTCCATATTCGTTGCAGGGAGGGTAATATGTCTTAAATATAAACCATGTCCTCAACGGTGCCCAGGTCACCATGCCAAGAGTGGGACCAAAATCGTCTGATTCTGTGGCTCACAAAGCTCTGCTGGTGCAGATCAACGTTGGATGCTGACTGGAAGGCAATGGCACCGGCCCTGGGATTTGGCTGAAAGCCGTGGGCGCGGTAGGATTTCCAGTCGTGTTCGATACATACTCGGCTCCCATCCCAAACACTCCGTGGGACCTGGTTCCAGGGGTCTAAAGTAGGTTTATGCTAGTCCCATGGATGGTCTGGGCGGATAGTAGGCCGGAATGGCATCGTCAGTGATCTCCGTCTATGTCGCGATTGAGCGGCCACTGTATGCCTCTTTAAGACAGAAATTGGTGTGTATTCTATTAATATAGGGGGGCCCTGCCAACCAATTGATTTTGGTATGTTTTCCTTCTTCCAGGTGGTCTTTAGGGGTCTTCCTACTTTAACACACACCCAAATCCCACCACTCCAACCCGTTGATTGGACAGAGGAAGAAACAGCTACTAAACATTAGCCAGGCTTCCGAAGGGCGCAATAGGCGGGCGTCACTCGCAAGATGTCGGGTCGGGTCAGCTTCATTGCAAGCACCAGGTCTAGCAACTGTGCAGGCAACGTGAGCGACTGGGTTGACGTCATCCTGACCTGGGTAGCCTCTTCGGAAATGGAGCTCTCGCTTTCTTTCCTCGCAACTTCACATGAAAACATCTCGGATTCCTCTCTACTGTCGCAAGAAATCTCATCACTCCCATGAGCAATCCCGACAATCGAGCTTTCTTGAGAGAAGGTCGGCTTCACCGACATGGTCGCTACCCGGCGGCGATGTGTTGGAACGCCTGGGACTTGCGACCATCAGCTTGATCCGACATGGGCGTTCGGCTCAACCCTAGGAACCTGAGAAACCGACTTGCCATCTTTCTCTCCCTCTCTCTCAGTCTGTGTTTGTTGAAGCCTTAAGCCTCCTGTTTTGCTTTGACCAGGAGGGTCTTTGGACTGTCCGAAAGCTGGACATGCCAAGGTGGTCTATTGGGCTTCGATGCAGCAAATGTCAATTTGCCGAAAAGAAAGCAGGACTTTATCCCTTTAAAGCATTGACTTGAAATCAACATGGAAGTGGAACAAACCCAGTCAAGATCCCCCAGAATGGCCCAATGGGGCTTTGGTCTTCTTTTCTGGTAGTCTTCACAACATCACCCCGTTCATACAAAATAAATCAAAATAACATAAAATAACATGAACTACATCAATCTGGGACTTCGATCTCTTCGCCCGAGCTGGCGACCAAGGGCACTCTCTTGGATCGCCTTGACGATCTCGCAGGCATCCTGCGCGGCCGGCTCTGGATGGCGGTCACGGAGACGAGCTCCGGATGGTGGAAATGAACGAAGCAAGTTACAAGTTCTGAGATGTTCTGAGGCAATGAGATGTTGGTGAAACGAGGTCAGGAACTGTGTGAAGCTGAAGTCAGAGATGGGTATGGGGGTTGTCAAGCCCGGAACCCTGGTTGACATCTCGACATCCGGAAGTCTATGGAGGGCGGCCGACATATTCAAGCCTTGCAACTTGTGAATATTGTGAATGATGGGAACCCTATGGGAACCTATAGACTATACGCAGTAGAGAATTTATCCTAGTATCACTAAAGCTTTTATAGCCTGAATCGCTCCAGCCAAGTGCGAATTCCCTTCTTGAAGATTCAAGAGCTTTGAAATACCAAGCCAAACATGGATCACTGTAGACTCACAGTTGGGTGAGTGGCGAACTAGGGAGATTCATGCGAAATTCGGCGTGACTCCACAAAATGGATCAGTTCGCTTGGAGTTTCTGAAGGATGCAAGGGATTGCGTTGGGATTGCGTTGGGACGCAAATAACGACGCCTCTCTCAGAAGCTTTGCACCCCTTGCCGCGTCCGGATGAGGGAGTCCAATTCGACCAGTCCACCTGGGTCCCCAACAGTTGGGAGCCATCAATGGAGTCTGGGCAAGTCTGGAGTCTACATCCCATGGCGTGGTTCAAATAGGGAGACGTCCCTATTTAACGCCCCGCCCCGGTCGTTGCGGTTCGGAGAGGACTCTTGGACTCGGGGATCTCCCTATTCAAATACACACTCACCTGCACAGTCAGCCTCTGCCACTGCCTTCTCTGTCAGCGTCCGGTCCTTAAAGCTTTTCATCTGAAGATCGGTCATCGCTTCAATGACCCTCAGTCACACGAGACTGCATCAGATGGTCTGGACCAGTGAGAACAGTGATCAATTGATAACATTCCATCTATCTAGAGTAGCTTCTTGTTACTATAGTAGCGATGGCCTCCAACCTAATAGCAATGGATAGCAATGGCCTCCACCTAGTAGCGTCCTTTCCATCTCATCAAAAAAACGATTGGAGATCAAATCTAGAAGTTTGGCTAATACAGTCTAATACCCCCCATCTCCTCGCTCCGTGTTCTGATGGCAAGGGGTACTCCTCTATGTCCGTGGATCTTGAGCAAGTACTAGAATGGATGTTTGGGCTCTTTGTTGGGGAATGATGACCTCCAGCAAGCGCCGGGGTTTCCAGATCACTTGCATCCGAGGTCAGCTGCTAAGTTGGTCGAAGCGTGACTTTTTCACGGATAGCGGGACCGACAGAGTACTCTCAGGATTTTGTCGGAGAACATCATCCCAAGCCGCAAAAATGATCTGCATACAGCGAATCATGAAGCGAAACTTGATGGGCTGCAACACCACCAAACTTGTTGTACCCTTAAACCATCCAAATGATGCAGTCCACATAATAGCCATAGCCAACTAGGGGAGCGGACCAGGGCAGAAGTATTTAAACTTTAAACTCAAATTGTCTCGAATTTAGGCATCTCTTACATGTTATGGTTGTATTGTTTATGTGATTTTTTCAAGCCAATGATTCTTAAGTGGACATAATTTCAAAATGCCACTTGTCAGTCTTTCCAAGGTGGCCTTTGCCTGGGTTCTCTGCAAAAGAAGATCCCAATCAAAACCCAAACTTGCTTGGCGTTGATCCTGTACTACAGGCGCAAACCATGCCAACAAAGACTCTAAAACCATCTATAAAACCATCTAAAACCGCATGTTGTTGTTTTTATCCCAAGCAAACGAGGATGATGCCTTGTGACCAAGCATCTCCTTCAAGCCACCAGCTTCCTCGACCTTCTTGTAGAGCACCCGTCTCAAGTCCAACTCACTGGAGGACCCAGTACCAATGAGGCCTCCGTGGCCATGAGAGAGCATCAAAAATGAGAGGAGCCATAGCTACAAGCAGTAGCTGTAGCTATAGCCTGTGTCTGGAGGTTGTCCTTACATGTCTTTACAGCCCAGTTTGACTCAGTTGGAAGAGTTGAGGGTTGCCAACAAAATACGACTAATCAACCAGTTGTTAGCGTTATATGGGAGACAAGGAGTGTGTGCTATTTCAGGACTCAAAGTAAGTTATAATTAAGCAAATATGAAATTCCTTCAACTCGGGTGTCCCGGCTAGCTGACTAGCTAACTTCAAATCAAACCAATCAAAAACAATGTTAGGCCTAGGTCTATGCATTTTCTTATTCATTTAACTCTGTCCAGAAAGACATGGCCTAATTAAAACAAAGCAAGCAATTAGGTTTTTGATGATTTTTGTCACAACCCAAAATCTGATGCTTTTTACTGGCAGCGGATCCATACAACAAATCACTGGTGTTAGAACCCTGTCACAGAGACATGGGGACCTGGATCTCTCCTAGCTGACTGAAAGGTCGTCCGCAAGTGCCTGCATCCTCTGCCTCCTCCAAAAAGCGCTTGAAGCCACCGGCACGCACAGCTCCTGCACTCATCAGCATGGTGTTGGAATGGGGGGGAAGTCCAAGAGGTTTCCAGAGGGTCCAGGATCCAGTCGTCCTTTTTGGAGATCTTATGAACCATGGATCCATTCCAAAATCCATTCCTTCCTGAAGGTTGCATCTCAGGATCATGGACTGGATTATGGAGGAAGCAAGTCTTCCAAAAGGTCCATGCCATCAGGTTCCATGTGGGTCTCCTCCCGAGTGTAAGTTGCCATGCTTTCTGAGATCAAGACCCTGATTCAAGGATTTGGGCGGACGTCTCACCTTCAAAAAAATGCTTCAGGATTTCAATACAGCCATGCCTTTGACCAAAGGGATATTCAGAATATTCAGGTCATATTGGATCTTCCTTATCCGTCTCAGCCAGTTCCGCAGGTGAGAAAAAAAGCAATTGCAAGCTGTTCACCCACAAGGGTCATCACCATGACATCCTAAAACTTTTCTCTCACATGTTGAAACCTCCCCCCAGTCGAGGTCTAGATCTTTCGATCTTCCCATGTTCAATTTGTTCTTCCAATTCACCTCACCACCTCCCCTGCCCCTCCGGAAACACCTGCAGCGACGACACCTAATACTAATTCAATAGTACCACTCTATTTTTCATCATCTACGTCTCCATCCTCTAAACCATTCAAAGCCGTTCTTGGGCTGGGCCCCCCCTCTCTACCGCTCTCCTTCTTTCCTTCCACCCTCTCTCCACCCCACCCCCTGGTGCTCCCCTCTCCACCCCCTCTCCTTCTCCGATGAGCTTCATGGCCTCCGCCTCCCGGAGGATCGCCTCCGCCGCGCTGGGCAACGGCACCGCTGGTCCCAGGTCGCCCATAGGCGAGGTCACCCCGCTGCTGAAGGGGTCCACCGCGCGCACGCAGAAGCTCACCTGCGGAGGGGATTTCACCGAGTCCGCGGAGAGTCAAGGCTTAGTGTTGGAGAATGCACAACAGGAGGGCGGATGAACCATGAGTGGCATGGAAGGAGTGATGTGGAAAGAAGGGACAAGAAGTGTGAAGTGGAGAGGCGATGCGTAGTTTGGATGTGTTGGTGTGGATTCTTCAAAGGGAATCCCAGGAATCTTCGAACGACATCACAAAGCACATACGAATGGATTTGGAAGATGGTCCCTTGATGACCAGTTTTGGAATACCAAATAGGTGGTCTTCCACTTCCATGAGTCTTTAAAAGGAGTGCAATAAGGATTTCCCCCTTACACACTGCATTCCTCCGAGAAATCATTCCTTCTACTTGGACCTTGGAATTGTTTGGGGGTGCAATAGTTTTTTTACAAGAAGCTTTTTGTGTGGATAGATATCTTTATAATCCTCCTTCTTTTCTTTCCAACAGCAATTCCTGGACTTTAACCCTTGGACATGCTCTTGTGGATACTATTCAACTCGCCCTCAATGGTTTGGCACTCGGGGATGTTGACCAATCAAGCTCCAACTTGTTTGGTTCTTCCCAAAGACCCCTTGTACAAACAACCAACGATGAAAACTATTGGTAAAAACTGGTCCACTCTTGTTCAGACAAACCCAGTATTTGAAGTATACCCACATCAAAGAAAAAGAGAACGCCGAAGCATGCTCTCCACCCTGCTAACCTCATCAAGGGGGACAGCATCTGCTTCTGGAGGATGTAAAAGTCCTTCAGTTCTTTGGCTGCCGCTGCAAAGAAAGGAGACAAGGAGCTCAGCTAAAGCATACTGTAGATCTCCAAATCGGCTCAAACTAATTCATGGATGTGTCTTCTGAAGGTTGCAATAATTCACTTCTAAGGTTCTCAGGCCTGGGTGTTGGATGGCGACCCACGTGGTTTAAACACCCAGCTGAGTGTCGGCCCTGGGCCAGGTGGGACTACCAAGTCAGGTAACCACCAGGTGGTCACTTTGAGCACGCAACACACATGGTAAGGCCATAATGTAGCGGCAAACACCCAGCTTATAGTAAAAAGAAAACAAGCAACAAACTGTTCTCCGACCAAACAGCATGAAATCTACTCCCCCAAAACCAACGGTGCCGTCCCCGGTCCTTCCACGGTGCCGTCCCCGGGCTTTCGGAAGAAGACTGGCCCCGGATAGCGCCACACGAGGCTCTTCTCGCCGGGTGCAAAGGCGTCCTCATGGTCCACGTGCTTCTG